TTGTCTTAAAAGAAATTAAATCTAATTTAAATCTTATACAGAATTTAATAAGTAAATTTATTTCAATGTATGAGAAGTTCAAAAGATAAATAGGTCTTCAGGTATAAATATATGAAGGATAGTTACTCCCCAGAGGTTGATGTACTCCACAGAGGCTGAAGATTTGGCCCCAGTATGACTTTTTGAGGAACAAGAGGAACCTTGGAGAGATAGGCCTGTTGGAAGATCATTGTGGTTATCATTCCTAGTGCACAAGAATGTCATTCTCTGGCCTGCCAGATAGCTCAGCAGACTAAAGCACCTGATTAGACAGAGTGTGGGGACCGGGTTTGATACGGCACCACATGCAGTGCTGGCCCCGCCCACATGACATGTTGAGACCGCTCATGATGGCACGTGCCTGTATTCCCAGCACTTGGGAGGCTGAAAACAGGAGGATCACTACAAGTCTGATCTGTGTAGTGAGACCCTGAAGACTGTGTACTAAACACATTAAAAAAGAAAAAGAATATCACTCTTACAAGACTATTCAGGCTCCTGTAAGAGTGAGTTGTTTTTAAAAGTAAGTAAATAAATACATAAATGAACCCCTCCTGAGAACTGGTTTCCTGTTGCATTGTTTGTTTTTAATGAACATAATCCTATCATTGCAGTGGCATCCAATAGGAAGTCCTCACCAGAGCCAAGAGCACAAAAACCATGCTCTTGAACCTACAGAAATGCGATTTAAAATCTATTTTATTATAAAGTACATAGCTTTGGATGTTTCACTATGGCAACAAAAACTGGGGTAATATGATCCCTCTGTTTTAAAAACAAAAGAAGATATTCCTGCTGGCCAAGATGCAAAAGCTATCACCCTAGGTCCCCAAAGTTCACCAAAAGCAAAACTCTGGATATTATCCTTCCTTCCAACGGGGCTGGCCTATTGCAAATTTGCTCCTTTATGACCATGTTTTCACTACAGCATTGCTGATTGTCCCCTTCTGACCAATCCTTTCAACCCAGAATTGAACTCCAACCAATCCAGAGCATACATGAAAAACTTCACCAGTGAGTCCTCTTGTGCTTGTATTTTTTGTAAGCCAGTAGCAGAATAAGATGTCCTCTTCATGTCTTTCCCTCCTGAGGGAATGAATGAGGCTCACTCTTAACACATACTTTAGCAGAATGTGAGAACTATGATTAAATGGGTACAATCTCAGCTTGAGAAAGGAGCTTTATCTGAAGGCAGATCCCCTGAGACAGCATAGACAGGTTAGGTCCCTGTACAAGGCCTGCCTTTAATTCTCCTCTCTCCTCACCTCTGCTGGGAGTAAAGTGGGAGTAGAAACTTGCAGCTCTTGTGATCCTATTTACAAACACCATTAGAACAAATCATTCTATTCATTAAGAGAATGCAACTATATATCTATCCTAACCACTTTGAATACACAGATACAAAATGGACATTCATTAACCACTAAGAAGAATATATGCAGTGTATTATTTGTTGAAACTGTACTTCCGATTTGATTTGAAACTGTCTCATTGCTGTTTATCAATAAAACTTTGAAAAAAAAAAAAAAAGAAACTTACAGCTCATGCTAAAACTAGGAGAGAACTGGACTTCAGAACTAAGCAAAAGATCCAGCACCCAAAGGACCCTCAAGTGAAGAGAAGCAGGACTCTGGGATAATAGTACTCCCTTAAGAATTGACCTAAGAATCTTTATGAACATTACCAGAAAGTAATTTTTCCTTAAAAAAGGAAAAATTGTAGGCCCCAAACCCCAGGCAGGAACCTACCTATGTAAGCCCTGCTTTTATCTTCCAGTTTCAGGAAGCATAGACCCACTTGGCTTCAGCTGCTGTTTGCTTGTAATGACTCAGGGAAAGAGCCCAACTGATAGATCAAGCTGCAGCAAGCCCTCTGTGCATTCAGGACCTCCTCAACATGAGCAGTACAGACAGTTGTTTCTTCTGCCAAGAAAAAACTGCAAAGTGTACATCAGAGAAAGGTTAGGACTTCATCCAGCCGAGCTTCAGCCTTGGGAAGTTAAAAGCAGCTTCTCTTTAAAACTCCATTGTTTTGAAACATTTAATTTTCTGAATATTGCTTAATCTTAATTTTTGTTCTAAAATTTATACTGTACCTTTGACTTATAATTTATTTAAAAGACATTGTATGATATCTTCTCCTAGTATTAGAAACTTTAAGAGTATTTCCATTTTCTGTTGACTTTATATTACTTCTTCCCTGTCTTTTATACACACATACACACACATATATGGGGAAAAATACATGTATAATCCAACATAAGATTGGTACTGTTTCATAGAAATCTGTAATGACTTTTAAATAAGGGTTCATCTAATATACTTTTATATAGTCCTGCATAACTATCATATTGAGAGCTCTTTAATGTTCATCCAGGAGCATACTGCAACTTCTCTTGCCTTTTGAATTATGCTCTTTGTTATTTCTTATATGCTACTTCTGGAAATATTAAAATACCTCAAGTTTGTATAACTATAAAATCTTACTCTTCATTTTCAAAGGTATGTTTGCTAAGTATAAAATTCAAAGAGGACAGATCTTTTCTTTCAGTCCTTTAATTAATCTAATTTTTTACACACTTTAAATGTCTTTGCAAAAGGTTCATTTTTCTTGGAAATGTGGTATTATAAGTTGAACTAAATTCAGAAATTTTAAATTTTTAAATAGTTATTGCCAAAAAAGAATAGTTATTGCCCACTCCTTTCTACTTTGAGAATTCTAATTATATGAATATAAGTTTCTTGGTTTTGACACAGTGAACTATTATGACTGATCTGTAAATTCTTCATTTTTATTTTGGACAGTTTTTATTGTTATATTCAGTTATGTTTGTAAATAATTCATTTTCAACTTGCAAACTATTAAAAAAAATTTTTAATCCAGTTTCTGGGATGGTGAGATAGCTCAGCAGACTAAGCACCTGCTTAGGCAAGCTCAAGGACCAGGTTTGATTCTCACCACCCCCAGTTGCACTGAGCCAACCACAGAGATCAGGTGTGGTTGTAAATGCTTGCAATCCCAGCACTGGGGAGGCTGAAAACAGGAGGATCACTACAAGTCTGAGCTGCATAATGATAGAAACATCACCATAGGCACAGTAGCTGCCAATCAGGTCCCAGGTCTTCCTGTGCCAGCCACATGGACTCTCCACATTGTTAGTATAGACCATGGTAGTGACCAGGTAGAAGTGGAGCTTCAGGTGGCACTGTTGTTTGAAAGAAAATCAGAACTGATAAGTCACTTCTACTTAATAAATTCTACTTCCAAGACATCCTTATCACATATACCTTCATAGCTAACACCCTCTTACCAACTTATCAGTTCAAATTCATACTTGGCCTTTCACTTCTACAGGTCTACTAGTGGGATGTGGTCATGGCCCCTGCAATAGCCCATGGTTGTTCCAAAACCAATATAACCACCAAACTACAACAGCTATTTCCCAAACACACAGAGAACGAGAACCTAAAGATAATTGAAAACAGGACCTTCTCAGTCTCTGGGTATTAATAGTATAATTAAAGCTCTTTCTCATACCAATTCAACTTCCTGGGATATTCTTCCTATAGCTGTCTAGTTCACAGAGAATTTTGTTTCTCTTTAGTTTTTTCTAACTGAGATATATGACACCACTCTTTTTATACTATCCAGCAGCATATATGGAAATCTTTCTGAGGGGGAACATCTGTGTGTCTCCAGGACAGGATAGTAAAGATGTGTGAGTCTCAAGAGGTTCATATGAAACCTTCAAAGGCCCTTTATAGTCTTCCCCACTTATCACTTCACAAGAAACAACTTGAAGGCAAGAGAAAAGCATGTTTCTTAGATTGATTCTTAATTTCTTGCCCAGACTCCTGAGCTGAAGTGATACACCAACTTAAACCTCCTAAATAACTGGAACCACAGGCATGAAGAATTGTATCAAAGTAAAAAACATCTTGTAACTCAAAGGGAGCACTCAAATTGATAAAGACTAAGGTTTTTCTAAATCCTGTTTAGAGAGTATATGTCCCTTGCCTTCCGAGGGAATAGAAGCTCTGAGTACCTACCTGATTCAGAATCAGTTTGCCCTTCTTTCTCAGGGATATTGAAGGTGTGATGAAATGATAAGACATAGTATGCCCACAGATACTGATTGTACATCCAACACTCTTGTAGAAATGCCTGGTGCAGGTTTACCTGTTACATTGCCTGCTTGAGGACAGATGGCAAGTGGTCCTGAATAGAGAGGATCCAGTCAGGCATTCTCTTCCAGTTCACCACAATGGTATTTAGGAAAGAAATGGCAAAACATTTCCCCATGTTTGCCAGTTTGTCTAGGGTAGCCCCCAACTTAGAGAAACATTGTCCCTCATGCATGGAAATAGGGCTTTCTCAGTGATCTTGTCATGTACTCAGAGTAAAAGAACTTCAATAACCTTGACCCAGAATAATGTCATGTATCATCCAAAGGGGTACAAAATGGAAAACTTTTCCCTTTCCTCAATCCCAACAAGTTTTCACCAGGGCCCTGAGGTGCAGGTGTTTTGCTGTTCTTTCCCCAAAGCTTTGTAGGATTTTGATCCTTTGTGGGAAAAGATCTTGAGGAATGGTCTCTGCCTGCATTTTTAGAGACAAGTTGTCTCTGGTTTTACCACTTGACTGCACTTTCTCATTAATACCTGACAGATGTCCATAAAAAGTTGTTTGTTATGGATGTAAACTCCACTTTGGGGCTTTGGTCTCCAGGGATTTTATACCCTCACCCTAGTTCATGAAAACCCCTTGTACACTGATAGAAGTAAGCTAAGCCAATGCTCATATCCACCTATCCTCCATAAGCTTATTTTACCTTAGGTCAGGATAATTATTCACCAAGCCACAGCCATAGGGACATTGGGCTCTCATATTACCTCTGTCTTCATTCATTCTCTGAAGAAAATAAGTTTTTCTCCATTCCTAACTCAAAGAACAGATGGGTGTGGTTTCCAAACAAACATTTATTCTCCTGACCAAGATATACATTCCCCTCCTTCACCCTTGCACACTCCCACCACAAAATTCTCTGTCCTCCACAAAAAGATGCCTCTGTGGCAGAAGAAAGCCCTGTTGTAGAATATGTCTATGTTGGCTTCTCCAGGCTTCCAAGCCTGGCTGATGTTCTCATTCACTATTTTGTGCTTGTTGTCTGAGATGGCTTCTCTGCTGCCTTCTGAGCATAGAGCTTAGTCCATAAAGCCACTTCCTTGGTTTTCAGCCCCTGGGCAGCCTTGGTAGTAGCTCCAATCTGCAGATACCCTTCATCTTGATCATATTTTGGCCAGTGGGGAAGTCCTTCCCCATTGGGATTCCTGGAAACAAAATAAAATAGAAATTCTGAAAAGCTGCTGAATGGTACATTTCATGTAGTTTTGAAGGGTTCCCCTGGCTAATCACTGCCAAGATGCTCAAGCCTCTCCACAGAAATGGAGCTGTCCATCCTGTGGGAACTTGCTGCTTTGTAGCAAGATCTCATTATCAAAGTACTACTGTCACAGGGCCAGGGCTTTGATTACACAAGTTATCAAAGCCCCCTTTCCCTACAGGTATGCAACGTACTTCCCCAACTTGTCTACCAACCCTGCTCCATATTTGCCGTCATCCTTACCCATTCCGAGCAAAGTTGGCCCAGAATTTCATCACCATCTTGCTGAGATTGATCTCTTCTTCTGATGCACCCTCTATGAGGAACAAAGAAAAATTTTATAACTTAAAATGTGGTTCATGGAGCTATAATGGCAGCAGCACCCTTGCAGAACCAGTTTTAGCCCTTTATCTGCCCACTGAGTGAAAATCTGTATTTTAAGGAAATTCTGGTTTATTAATATAGTCTTTCATTTGAGAATGACTGATGTAGGACTCTGCAATAGACGTCCAATGTATGTGTGAGGTACTTAATTTTTATCTACTGTGTCCACCTGCCACCTTCCACCCTCACACTATCACAGTGACACACCAGGAATTTCCTCTGCACTGTAGGATTGCAGGCTGTTGCAGAAGTTTTTTCTCAATCTCTAAACATACCTACATAGTCATAGAATCTGCAAAGGTGTTAAGGAGTCACCCAACTAAGAGATGCCCACAGGCACACGTGTGTTGTGAGCATCCATAAGGCTGGCCACAATTCATCAGCAACAGCTGGACATGGAAGGCATTGAAAGCATTTCTGAATGGTTTCCTTTAAATAAAATGTGAGTGAAACCATATGAGTTTTATACACATAGATCAAATGAAAGGCGAATGGATACATGGGACACTCGATTCCGGCATACCAACAATTCAGATGTATCGGTTCTGATAGACGATTGTGAGTGGCACATCAAACAGCAACATTCTTGTCCCCAAGCCAACCACACAGGTGATCACCCACCTCTCTTACTGATGTCACAGGTCAGTATTCAGAGTCAAACCATGATTGGGGACACATGAATACCCCTTATCCTTCATTGCATTAGACAGGAGAAAAGCCAAGGACTATGCAATGTAGCTGAGCCATGTGATAGCAGAACAATGAACCAAGATGGGGAGAGAAGATGAAATGCACTCAAGGTCATCAAATTAGGAGTGGCTCCCATGCCTCTGCACTTAAAGTTAAGAACCAGCAAAGAGCTATTACCTTTCAAAAATGGTGCACCAAGTACTGAGAAAATCTCATCGCCATGGTCTCCTACAACACTGGTATCTTTTAAGGGTGATGAGAAGCTTGGGCGATATTGGAACTCATACATGTAGGTGGGGGCTCCAGCATCTGTGAAGACACAGACCACACACAAATCACATGACCAGATGCACCCCAGAAGTATAGCAACATCTTCAGCTTCTCAGAAAGTCCCTAGCTATCAGCAGGAGATTGAAACAGCGTTTTAGGAAAGCTCCTCACCTAGGTTAGAGCAATACACATTGTGGAAGTGGAATTAGGATTGGGCAAAACATTTATTAAATGACATAGCAGAGGACCACAATAAACCCAGGATGAATACACTGGATGTGTGTCATTGACATCACACAAGTAGTCATGCCTTGAAGAATATTTCCAACAGAATAGGTGCTTTTGACTCAGCTTCACTAAGCTCCCATGTTTTTCTCAACCTTTTAGAGAACTTTAGGAAAATACTAGCTGCTTATTTAAAAGAAGCATATTAAAATGCAAACATATGTAGCGAGGAAACAAATGTCCATTGCATTTTAGGAAACTGCAAAACTTGGAGTATAACATTTTTGTCACTTCCCATATAAAACCTCTTGCTTATCTTGGGGAATCTTAAAATGTCTGTTTCACTGCCATCACTAACAGCAACTTGCCCAAACACCATCAAGATGTTGCTTTTCTTTCCTGCTGACAGAATCATCAGAACCACCAACCCGTGCTCTACAAGACAAACTTGCTGACCTAGCCAGGGAGCTCAGGCCTTTCCATTGGTCCTACTGTCCCCAGGGAGATCACTCTATGAGAAGAGAGATTCAGTCTCAAATCATGCTGATGATAATTTTACATTTATCCAATGGATACAGAAAAAAAGAGAGAGAAAAACATGCAAAAACTAAAACAAGAGCACTCATAATTCCATCACTCATGAGACTTATTTTATATTTTAGTGCATAAGTCTTATGAATATAAATTGAGGTAATATTGTATATGTTAACTTCCAAAACAAGACTGTGGTGCCCCTCCAGGTCATATAGAAACACGTTTTATGTTTCATCTGAAGCAATTTTCACATCTGTCAATACTGGGAGGTGGGCAGCTCAGAGACAAAAACTGGCAAGATGGTGTTCCTCTCCTGTCCAATGCTTGGGACTTACCTCTGTGTCCACGGGCAGTAATCACAGATGGAACACCAAAAATCCGATCTGCAACCAACTCCATTAAGTGTTCATGCTCTTTGGCAAAGTCACTTGTCCCTCCTAAGTACATCTCAAACATCACCATCATGGTATCCTCTGAGATGTTCTGAAAGGTGGCAAAAAAAAAAATGATAACCCCTGCCTGGTGAATAACGTGGTTTCTCCAGCCAGCTAAGAGGCTTTGTTTATCCTGAAACTTTTATACCATAAAAACCCTTCTCAGGATACTGATATGGGGGGAAAAATGGGGTCAAAATTTCCAATCCCAGTTTTTCTTTTCTGTCATTGAATTGGTCTGTACTTTGGGGCAAATCTTTTATCCTTGCTCCTTAATCAATTCCCATAATTTCCCAGCCTCTTACAAGAAAGTGTTTGAACTTCTCTGTGGTTGTCATTTCTGGCCTCTGGTCCAAACTGTCTTCAGAGGACAAATAGGCCATAATCTGCTTAAAATATTGGTAAAGCATCATGAATTCTCAAAAATTCAAAGTAAAAGCCAAACAACAAACACTTAAACCTATGTAAAATGAAGTTTCAATTGGGACCTTGACAGTTTTTTCATCAGTTTGAAAGACAAAAACAATGCAAAAATGGACTCAGAAGTTCAAGGAGCCAAATAGAGTAAAATACATATATATTGGCTTGCCATGGTACACAATTGTCATCCAAGCAGTAAAGAAACATTTAAGCCAGCATAGTGTTGAATCAGAGGGCTCAGTGACAAGGGGAATAGACCACAGTCTCTGGTGACTAAAAAAATATTAACCATGTGGCTTTGGTCCTTTGAAAACCCCTGAAATCCTTCTAAAGTGAAAACTGCAGAATTTTCAGCATGTGACGCCCTTTCTGAACTTCTGCATCAATACACTTGACCCAAATTTTGCCTGGCTTCTAGTAACTAAAAACATGTGCTACAACAACTCCAGACCCCTACAATGCCTGCCTAAGACTATTCAATGATTTCATGTATGAAATAGCTGTTTTCTCTATCCTAGTCTTGCTGCACATAGACATAATTATGAACTTTCTCTTAGAGCAATTACCTTATAAACTTTCAACCATAAATCTTTTTTCTGCCCTTTGAAATAAAAATCTCACACCCAAAATGCTTTTCTCAAGGACCTTAGAGTACTTTTTATACAAATGTGTTGAAATTCCTTAGAGATTTAAACATTTGAAATAACTCTTGATCACCTCCTGGCCAATCTCCATTGGTCAACCAACGCCTAAATTCAACAAAAGCCTCACGTCAACTTACACTTCTGCTTCTGTGACACAGGTCTACTTGTTCTGCAGATGAGTGTGAAAGAACAATCCTTTAGTCTGGTCATGTGGATTCATTCACATTACATGCCTGTGCTCACTCACCCTGGAGACATCTCCAACCACGGTCTCAGGGATGGGAATTCTTTTTTTTTTTTTTCAAAGTTTTATTGATAAACAGCAATAAGACAGTTTCAAATCAAATTGGAAGCACAGTTTCAACAAATAATACACTGCATATATTCTTCTTAGTGGTTAATTGCTGTACAAGATGCGGACTTGTGATCCTATTTACAAACACCATTAGAACAAATCATTCTATTCATTAAGAGAATGCAACTATATATCTATGCCAACCTCTTTGAATACACAGATACAAAATGGACATTCATCGGTATACCCCATTGTTTCTAAGATCCATTATTGAATATTATAGGTGTGTAAACTCAGCAAAATATTCTAAAAGAGTCCAGTAGCCCATAATAGCATTGGGTCTTCTGTTTAACTGGCAATGTCAGAAATTATTGACCTGAGTCCCCCACAGCTCAAATCTTGGAAACTACCAAGATGCCCATCACCTGAGGAATGGTTGAGAAAGATGTGGTATTTTTACACAATGGAATATTATTCAGCTATTAAGAATGATAAACTGCAAGCCTTTATATTGAAGTGGATGCCACTTGAACATATACTCATAAGTGAAATAAACCCGACACACATGTGTAAATATCGTATAGTCTCCCTAGTATAAGAACTCTAAAGAAGAAATACAAATAGAAAGATATAATACAAGGAAAGGGAAGGCAGGATCTCAAGGACTAACTAATCAAGAAAGGGAAAGGAGATAAGCTAGGAAACATGGCAATGTTAAGCCATGCAGTTATATGTAAAAGATGAGCAAGGAAATGATCCTGAGAATATTCAGGGATGGGAATTCTTGATGTGCTTTGTCTTTTCTCTATTGCTATCCCATTTCTGAATAATAACTTTTCCAACACTTTAGCTTAGTATCTCTGTTAAAACTATTATTTTTTTTCAAATGCAAAGCCTTTTGTCACAATTTGAAGCCCATTTTAACTCACTGAGAAGAGACTTTCTCTGAATCTTCCCAATGAGGGGCTCAACCATGTGTGTGAAGATCAATAGGAACTATGAGCCCTGGCAAAAAGTGGTAGCTGTTGTGCCTCAGCCTGATCCTCATGGGCTTCTAAAGTCCTTTTCTTTCTAGGCATCAGAGGCTCTTCCACCTGTACTTTCATTCTCTACAGATATAACAGCCAGGACAATTCAGTATTCATTAATGGGAAGACAATCAAAGGGTATTTGGCCAAAGGTTTCCCTGGCATCTACCAGTCTAGGGACAACTGGACTACCCTGAAGAGGATTTCTGGGAAAATGCTCATGCATGCCAAAAGTATTCCTGCCCTGGGCTCCAATGGGGTTTGGCAAAGAAAAAAAAGCATATGAACAGAAGTTGGAGAGATGATGATGCAGGTAGATGCATCTGTCCTAGAGAGCTATATCTCACCATTGGAATAAAACAGCCAAACTCTTGCTTTTTGATTTTCACAATAAAGGGAAAAAGTGCTGAAATTCTTCTCAGCTATTAAGGGCACAGAAGTGCACCTGTGTCAGTGTCAGCCATGTGGATGAGTCATGGCCATTGGTTGGCCAATTTGCTTTCTGTGAAAGCCTAAGAAAATGGTTTCTCTCCATGTGACTATACTTAGGCACACTCCACATCATTGATCACTGACAAAGGATCTACAAACTGAGGTACAGAGTCTTAGGATAAATCCTGAGGGGATTTGACTGACTTTATCAGATATAAAATCTACAATTCTTGTTCCATAGGTCTTGCTTTATCTTGATCTTAACCATCCAGCAGAAAAGTATAAAAACGAAGTATAAGAAGTAAAGCCATGTTATTATGTTGAGCTGTAGGGGACTCAGGTCAACAACTTCTGACATTTCCAGTCACCTGGAAGACCCAATATTATTATGGACTATTGAACTATTTTGGAATATTTTGCTGAATTCACACATCTATAATATTTAAATGATGGAACTAAACAAAAAAGGGGATCCAGATGAATGACCATTTTGTATCTTTGTATTCAAAATGGTTAAGATAGATATATAGATACATTCTCTTAATTCAATGAATAGAGTAATTTGTTCTAATAGTGTTTGTAAATAGGATATTATATATACATCTTGTACAACAAATACCCACTAGGAAGACAGTATGCAGTGTGTTAACTATTGAAACTGTCCTACCAATTTGATTTGAAGAAAAAAAAAGAAGTGCACCTGTCTGAATGCCAGTACATTCTCACCTTTGGAAGGATCCAGCCAAAGTCTTGCTTGTTAATTCCCACAATGTAGGGCACAGTACTGAAATTCTTTTCAGCCAGAATGTCTTTTGGTGCCTTGGGCAGCAGCACTCCATCAACCACAATGGTCATAGGTGAATAGTGCTGGGAAGTAGAAAGAAATGTATTGTCTCTGATTAGCCTCCCCAGTTGATGCTCACATCTCTGCTCTGGCTGACTGAGGGCAAGGGAGGAACCATAGACTGCCCTGGTGATCAGCAGTGACCACACATGCTTAAGGTCCAAACAATGGGGCTACGTAAGAAAATAAAAGACAGAATTTTGGGGAGCTTCTTATGACAAGGTGATGGTGGAAGTGAAAAACAGGTCATCCTTATTCAATTTAAGGATGATTTTATATATATATATATATATATATATATATCAGTGGAATACATATTCAATATGATTTCATGTGTGTGTGTGTGTGTGTGTGTGTATGTGTGTGTTGACTGTGCAACACAGACAGGGCAAATCCTACTGCAAAACATTGAGAGAAAACTGAATTTGGGTTTGAATACAGCTGCCTTGGAAAGATGACTGACTTTGCAAAAGAAGCAGCTCATCTGAAGGAAAATTTCTGAAAGCTACATGGACAGATGCCTGCCATCTGCATAGCACTAGGGTGATGGATGCTACTGACAGGTGACTAGAAACATTGGTATCCCCAATCAGAAACAAATGCCTGAACAAAGGGACAGAGTCAATGAGCAGGAAAAAAAAGTATCTCAAAGAGCTTTGGGCTTGAGCATATGCCTTGGAGAAAGGACAACAAAGAGGCTTGTGTGGAGGAGCACATGTTCTACACAGCAGGCAAATTGTCAGGCTTGTTTGCAAAACTAACTCACAGAAGCTGCTATAGTTTGAATTGTAAATGCCCCACAAAGGTCTATTATGAGATACTTGGTCTCCAGCCAAGTGCTACTTGGAGATGGCGCAACTTTAAGACATTAGACTAGTAGATTTTGAGGTCATTAGGGATGTGCTCTTAAAATGGCTGTCAGTACTCTGTCCTTTTCCCCTCCCTACTACCAGGGAATGAGGTAAATGGTTTTGCTCCTCTGTGTGTTACCACTATGATGTCTTGGTACAGAACCAAACAGGGTCAAAGGACCATGGGATGAAAGGGCCAAGACCCTGAGCCATAATGAATTTGTTTTCTCATTATGTGTTGATTATCTCAAGTATTCACTACAGTAATGGAAAGCTTACTAAGAGAAGAACTGAGGGGATACAGATACAAGGGTGACATTCTCTATTTTATGGTGACAGAAATCTGGAGGTAGCAGAAGGCATGGGAATGGGAAATGTAAAGTAGAAGTAAGGAAATTCTGGAAGATAAAAATTGTATGTTTGTTGAGAGCAGCACCTATGGGGGAAACACAGTGATGTATGAGTCATGAGAATAACAGTAATGGTCAGCGTCTGATGTCCACTCAGTGATGCTGGTAGATGGCCTGTTGGAATCACTTGCAAAGCATTGCTTTGGTCTGAAAATTCAGGGGAACCTTTCCTCCTTTCATTTTGCTATACCCTACGCCATTAGCAAGTCCTGCTATCTGTTCTCAAAATTATCCAGATTCCACCTAATTCTCTCTCCATCTCATTACTCTAGCTCTGGCATAATCCACAAAATCTCCTTGTTTGAGCTACTTCAGTACAGTGGTCTCACAGTTTGTCTCTGCCTCTGCCCTGCCCTTCCTTCTGTCTGGACCACACTGTACAGACATTTGGGCAATCTAAGATCATGTCACTCTTCTGTTCACAGTCTCTGAACACCTCTCCCCTGCTGCTGAATCACAGTGAAAATCCTTCCATTGAACACTGTACCCCATCTCCCAGGGCCTCAGCCCCTAGGCTGCTCCATTTCTTCCTTGCTCTGCACCCTAAACACCAACCTCCTGTATTGGGGGCTTTGTAGCTGCTATTTTCATACCCTGGAACATTCTCCATGTTCCTTACCACTGGCTTCTTTCATCCTCTAGCAATGGACTCAGATGACACCCACTCTTCAAACCATCCCCTCACTCTGCTATTCACAGGCACTATTGGAACCCCCTCTTATCCTCGCCAATCCAATACTCTCAATCAGTAAGTCTGTTCCCTGGGCTCAGCCACATCCTCTTCACTTACATTTCCTACTTCCAAAACCTCTACACTCTTTCTCTATTGCTTGCTTTCTTTTTAATCTTCACTCTGCCCATTTTGGACATACACATAGACTATTCATGTATTTCTTCACTGAACTCCCCCCCCCCAACTTGGGCACAAGCCTTGAAAAGAGCAGAGAAATTCATCTTCTTACCTTCTCTACCCCAACTACTAAATTAAATCAAGTCCTGCCACCTGCTTCTTAAACCTTTGCTGAATGAAAGTATAAATCTCACATCAATTTCAAACCCTCTAAGTGCAAGAATCCCCAGAAAGAGAGAAGAGAGGAAGGGACAGTAAGATACTGTAACAGTAATGTCTCCAGAACTTGACAACTCAGGGCAGAAGTGGATCTGCAAGGACAATCTCAGAGTTTCCTGGCTGGTAGGAGGACATTATTGTCTTGGGGCCTAAGATAGTAGTCTCATTTTCTGCCCAAACCTGTGGCCTCCTGAGGAACCTGTCTTTCTTAATAAAGCCTTCTAAGCTCCTTATCCAGTTCTTTGTCTCCCAGAGTGGAATGTTATGATGCAGCCTCCTCTCACAGGGTCAGTTTGGATGGAATAAGTGTAAATGAGGAGTGTATGCCCACGGGATAAAGAATTACTGACCATCAGCACTGAACTGGAAAGTAGAAGAGTAGGTTCCAACAATCCCTCAAATCCTATAGGCTGTGCTACCCTGACAAGTGCTTCCACTTCTCTGGCCTCAGTAATGTGTACACAAGGAATGAACCTGATTCCACAAAACAGAATTATTTCATTCAAAGTGTGTTATAAGATAAAGTTGTAAACACTCAAAACCTGTAAAGAAGAAAACAAAGGTCCTGACCTCACTGAGGCCTCTGAGTAAATGGAGATTAAGAACTTTCTGTGAAACAAAGGCTGAGAATTCTGAGAAACCTTCCAAGGCTTCTACTATAGCTGTGTTTTACCTTGGATTTTTCTTTGTCTCAGGTGAAAAAGAGCATATGAATCCTACCATACCCTAAGCCAGTGATGGCGAACCTTTCAGAATTTTCAAAGATAATAAAAAGCTGGCTATGACACACATGCCTTCAGGTCATCACCATTGCTAAGCTATCTGCTCTTGAACTTTCAATTAACTGGATATCCTGGTGCATGTGATAGTTTTCTCCTAAAGGCCTCTTTAAATGAGTTCCTTTTATCTTCCATTAGAATATTCTTACTCAGGCAACTTCAAACTGATATATTTCTATCCCTACTTTTCTCTGCTATTCACCAAGATTTCAGAGACTGGAATGTTCCACTTTAGTTAACAAGTCTCAACTAGATGCGGGCAGTGACCAGTAAGGATAACTTCATTATGGGTTGCAGCCTGACTATACACAAATAGTGTTGTAAGTGATGTGTGTATCTGTGTGTCTGTATTCCTGAGTAAGCAGGCAGTCAGGGGAGTATTTTGACAAGATCTTAAAACATCTCAGAAGAAAGGTCTAGGGTCTTAAGTTCTGTGAGTTTCCCAAAGTTACCAACAATTCCTGTATAAGTGGGGACTTACTGAATCACGTGGCAAAAGGCTTAAACATTGGCCTCTTTCCACATATCAGAAAAGAGCTGGGTGTTAACCTTTCTGAAAACTGTGGTTACCTTATTTGAAGCAGATGAATCAGAAATCAAGGCTCAAAACCACATTTGACCTAATACATAGTCATTCAGGCAGAAAAATTGCTAGTGGCCTGCCTTGAGTATCCAGAAGATTCTTCCAGTATCCATGACTCAGAGAGAGAAGCCAGACCCTGGGGTGGCTCCTGGGGCCATAATTATACTAAAAAATGAAGAGTTCCCATGGGTGCTGGGTACTTTTTCTCAAGAACTTTTTCTTACTGAACTTCACTATGATGACACAATGGCATGACCAACAATAAATATTCTAGATTACTTTCCCTCAGAAGCAGTCTTGCTGGCAATTATAAATGCATGCTCTGTCTGTACTCCTACACACTTGGCCCACTAATAGATCTATGGATTTTGTTTGACTTTGGTCTTACAATAGGTATAATATTCAATTCAGGTATGCAACACCTTTTTTTCATTTTTTTTTATTTTTAGGGAAGGGCCCACAGGGTGTTCAGGGTCTCACTACTAGATCACACTCATAGTTATCACCTGCTTATAGCCTCCCAAGAGCTGGAATTACAAATACACACCACCACACCCAGTCTATAATATCTCTTCTGATATCACCCTCTATATAACTATCTTTCAGGGAGAGAGAGAGAATGACAAAGAGCAGGAAAAAGAGATGATTCTTTCCAGACAGAGGAATATGTGGATGGTGATGGTCACTGCATGGGATATTGGTGAATTTTATTCACACATAGAAAAAAGAATAGAAATAAACACAGAGGCGATACATTTGTCATTGCTTCTGGAGGCCTGTGTAATGGAAAGTGCATGTATGTTGACTGAATGACTCATGTGTGATGGACCAATTGAAATTGATATTAGATGAATAAAAAAAGAGAAGTGATTGAGATAGATAGATAGGATGATGATGGATAGATGGAAGGACAGATGGGTGAATGATACATGAACAAATGGCTAAAAAGATGGCTATCTTTGAATATTAAACAGGGAAAAGCCTTAGAATATCTAGATAATTGGCCAGTATTATGTTATAATTTAGTTATTATCTAAATTGCAGTCTCCTTAGAAAAATTGTGACAACTTTCTTAAAAGCCAGGTGCTTAATATACCCATTCTTAAAAATTTAGAATGATAGTTTCATTTAAAATATACAATGTATAATTTTTATTAATTCATACTAATTCTGCAGCACACCAAGTTATATTATATCTGAACAGAATGTCAAAATATTGTTTTAAAATGAGAGTACTGTAATACAGTTTTCTTTGTATTACTATTAGATATTTTCATATTTAACATACTTCACAATAAAAAAACAATAAATTTTCCAGTTTGGTTGAGAAGGATACACTGTACTAGCAGCTGATTGTCTATATAAGTACACAGCTAAATCAATAGCATGGAGTCACATACACACAGTAGAACAACTATAATGGATGCACCTACTATTTTCTGGCTTATCTCTAAGAGCTCATCCTCTGTCTTCTGGCGCAGACAATGAATAATGACATCAGATCTGTTGGATTCACACCCAGCTGCAGCTGCAATTTTCTGCAGAGATCATAGACAACAGCACAATTTAAGAGAAAGCTTTATTCTACATCAGTGTACACAGAGTAGTTCCACCCCAAGCCCAACCGCACAGGACACCTAAATATCCTATAGACCACAGTGAGTTCTGGGTTCTAAAGATTGTTGTTTGTGTTATTATTTATGGAATTGCAAAAAACATAAGCCACATACATAATATCTATATCTTTATTGCCTTGTCTTCTGAAGTAGGCTCAGTGTTCTCAAATGTGAATGTCACAAGAGGCCCTGTGAAGATGGGGGTAGTGAAGATCATGGAGTTCAGAACTACACTGTCTGAACCAAATACTACCTCTTAAATTTACCAGCCAATGGGCCTCAGAATTCCCACTTGTAGAAGAGTGTACTGATTACAACTATCTTATAATACATGTGACAAAAATTACAAGGGTATTGTGCCTCCCACACACTAAAGCCAGTACATAATTCATGAGGGTTATTCAAGGTGATTCACATGAAAGCACTTCAGAATGTACAGAATACAATTTAAATGTGAGCCCTGAAGCAGTTCTTCCTGCTTGGCTATTGCCCTCTCAGTGTCTTTAGAGAATCTCAGTTGACTCTCAAACAAGAAAAATACATGATTCTACATGAGCCAAAGAAAGGGTAAGCTAGCTGCCCAGCATAAGACTTACCTCAGCTTTGGCCTTGATATTGTTCCTAACTACATGGAAACTGAGGGCCACACCACTCTCAGAAATGGCCCTGTGGAAGAGGTTCTTAGCCAAGGGAGATAACACCTGGTAGGGGAGTGGAAAAGACATTTGATGTTCACAGGTATGGAGTCAGTGATTCACATGCATTCAAGGCTCCTTCCTCCTACTTCTCTGCCCTGGTCATTGACTTGGAGTCTCTAGTGCTCAGTGGACATAGAAGTCCTCGTCTGTCCCATATATATCGAAGCCTATCCTCTATCCTAAATTCTCAGCAGAGCAGAGGCAAAGCCCAGAGCCAGTGACAAAACAAAAATTATGTGGCATCTGCTCATCACGACAATCAAATCTGTTAGAATGTGATGTTAGGTATTTCTAACCACAAATTGTATTTCAAATTTTAATTGTTCATAACTGATCTTAATAAAATTGATCATGCATCCGATGAGAGTTTGGGTGTAGCTGCATCTCCTACGCTACACTGCTGACTTGATATTCCCAAATACTGGGGTTGGTCCTCAAGGCCACAAATAAATATCAAGTTCAAGTAAAAAGTCCTAATAGAGGCATACTCAAAAGATATATAATAATGCA